CTATAATTTGTGAAGTTGTGCTTATCACCAGATTTATACAGAGGAATAACCTTTGCAATTTTCATATTGTTAGGGAACTGCCCAAGTCGAAATGACATGTTAAAAATATGGGTTAATGGTTTGCATATCTCCTCAATTACCCATTTAACAGTTGTCATGGTAATACCATCACTATCACTAGATGTTTTGTTACCACATTTATTCACTATCTCTATAATTTCCTTTTCAACTATGGGCTTCAAGAACATAGAACTCATGTTCCTTTCAATTGTATTATTATTTGTAGTGACGGCTGTATCATCTGTACAAATGCTTCTTCCTAAACTAGGACCAACATTCACAAAAAACCTGTTAAACTTATCAACTGCATCCTCCATTCTGTTGACCGGTGTATCATTATCCATAAAGTATTGGGGGTAGTTACTCTTGCTGGGACTATTTCTAATCAATTTATTTAATATATTCCAAGTACCTCTCATGTTATTTTTATTATTCTCCAGTACTTTAGAATAATATTGTTTCTTACATCTCCTCAGGATCTCAATTAATTTGTTCTTGTGCGCCTTATATTTTGCTTCCATCTTTTTTGATCTGTCTTTTATGAAGTCCTTGTATAGTGCATCTTGATTGACACAAACCTTTATGTTGGTAGATATATTTTTATACTTCAGAGTCAAGCTACCTGTTTCCCCCTCTTTTCAGTCTTTACACTATACCAATGATACCAATATTCTCACCTCACTCTCTGAAAATAAGACTGCACTTTTAATGTGGAAAACTGATTAGACACAGCAGTGATGATAGAGATGGTGTTGACTGTTTATTTCTCTCCCTCCCTCTGAGTGCAGGTTAACAACTCCTGCTTTGTTTGTGTTAAAGCCTTTTAAACACTTCCAGAAGAGCTGAAAGGTCAACCATGGCCACTGCTGTGTGTGTGTGCGCATGTTGTCTGGTCAGCCCCATGCTGCGACAGTGGGACTCTGTCACTGACTCCGACATTTCCTCAGCACTAAAAGCTAATGGATAAGTACAGTTCATCTTCCTTCCAACACCAACCACTCTGCTGCTGGAGAGGAGCTGAGAGAAGCGGACAGAAGGCAAGCTTCCATGCATCAGTTTTTATGACCACTTTCAATTTGTGCATAACAAAAGCTGAGTGGCAACACCAGAAATTTGAAAACGTCTTTAAACATCAAAAAAATGTTTTTACACGTGGCTAAGGTGAAAACACCACTGCATCACTAAAAGCAAAGATCAATAAAGTGCAGTGGAAACAGTCTTAAATATGTCACTAACGTATATGCACAAGCATGTAACTTAAAGACACAAATAGTGGCAGACTAATATAGATCTATGCGGAGCAATGGAGATAACATCACTGAGTCTGGTTTTTATTCAATCAAAGTTGGGTCTAGCAGTATTTAAATTGATCTGGTACTTCACTGTAAACAGCTAATGTAAGAAAAAAGGTCGTATCACATAGGCGGCATTTCATGAAGCATGTTTGATGGGTTTTTAGGTGTTGCTGCCAATCACTCAAATGTTCGACTAAACACTGACTGTTGATTGACAGGTCAATCCTGTTGCTAGCTTATGTTTCATTTTTAGATCAACTCACCTCTCTGTTATTTTTCGGCACATGTTACTCACCCGTTTTTACATTCAGTCTGATGTGTCACCTTCATTTGGCTTGGGTGCTGCACCTAAGCCTTTCTATAGTAGGGAAAACCCTGGCTTTATCAATGTGCACCAACTCCAAGAGACATTCTTTGAAATGTAACCTCACAAGGTTTTTATAGTGTACAGTATTTTCTATTAGTATAATCTCCACAGGCAGCTGTTCCAATTGCACAAATCTGCTTCTATATGCTGTAAACTTACAAACTGCTATGATAATCAAATTGGACTGAGCAGATGGATGCCTGAGGAGCACTTACACTGACGCCACATTTTTGATGTGAATCCCTTGTTAAAATACACGATGGAAGTATATATCTGTATATGCAGTGATATAGGGGAGCCTGCTTTGAATACTGAATAGAAAAATATTTCATTGCAGACCCGTGGACTGTAGACACAATACAGATTTCTTTACTCTTTTTTAGCTACAGTAGGTTACACATCTGCTAGTGCTCTTAAAGAGCTTCAGGACAAAAGTAGACTTGCAGGTTTTATGTGATGGAGAGGAGAATTTGGGGATCAAAACACAGAAATGGTTGACACACACTTTTTCACAGAATACAACTGAATCTGGAGTTTAAAATGTGTCAAAATGACGTGGTGTTTAACAATAGACAGATCCAAGTAGAGGTTCAGGTTCAAAGGACTCCTCCTGGGGATGCAACACTTTCCCTGACTCTCCTGTGATATTCCAAGATTTCCAGGACCAGGAGGAGTCATCTTACTGTCTGTTCCAGTCCTGCTGTGCTGCACACAGATCAAATTCAATGACCTTTTAACCTCGCTCAATCTCTCTCTCTGTTCTCTCCCTCCTCCATCCTTTCTCGTCCCCTGAGGTCACGGGCCCATCACATCCCCCACCTCCCTCGCCTGCGGTACTGCTGTGGTAACACAACACTGACAGGCACCAGTTCCTATGGCAACTGCTCCCCTGAGAAACCCCCACCATCCTCAGCAACCACAGGGTGACTCCTGAACACCCCCCCACACACACACACTGCACTTTAGAAGGCTGTTTCTAGTAAAAGAAGGTGGAGATTCACCTTTCTTCCCATCAGTAGGTCTAACTATAGACAGAGAGAGGGAGAGAGAGAGAGATCAGGGAATATACAGAGCTTGAGACAGGCCAAGAGAAACAGAAAGAAAAAATAAAATGACAGGGAAGAATAAAAAAAGATAGACAAATGGATCACAAAAGCAGGACAGAGAGATAGATGTACGGTATGTCTGAGATTTGTTTAAGGAGGTTTTATATTATGCTCTTTGATGATTGTTTCTCCTAGTTAAAGAAACAACAGACTGATACATTGTAGGCAGATTTAGGAATGGGGACACTATATCCCTATAATCATTATTTATGCAGCTACAGTATATCCAGGAAAAATGACGACAGAAAAATGGGCACAGCTGTGAATACTGTCTCAAGTGACATCACTTGAGGAGACTTAAAAGATTTCACACAGCTCTCTGAAGACCCAACAGCCTCTATACTGTGATATTTAAATATTTTCCTTTAATAATTGGAAAGCTAGCATATTAGTTGTCTAATGTTGGCATGTTCACAGTGAGCACATTTAATGACATATGAAATGAAACTGGGCTGTAGACTAATACTGTCACTGTGTGACATGTAAAACCACCAAGCAGAACCAAATTTCACAAATTTTTGCATCACAGTATGATGTACTTACGGGAGCTGACTGTGTCCACATACTGAGGCAGGTAGGGAGCCCACATGTCGATGGTGTCCTTGCGTCCTGATTGGCCGATCCTTCTTAACTCTGCCAAAAGAAGAGCTTGCGCTGCTTCTCGCACCTAAAACCACACAGAGGGTAAAGCTATATGATATTAAACACTTCTATAGAGAGTCTTCAGGTGAGTTGTCATGTTTTTAATGTTTTTCACTTCAACAAAAGTGAACAAACAGTTAATTCTTTGGATGGTTAACTCTAGGGAAAGCAGAGAAAATATATAAACTATGAATGTTTTATAGATTCATCCACTATAGACATATTGTGATTTTAAAAACTATAATTCTTAAAAACATTGCCTCATTATGTCGGTACAAACGGTAGTCCAGACAGCATTACCTTTCTTTCGAAACATACTGTATTTGCTGTGGTAAATTCGTAGTAATCCTCAGGACATAGCTTGAAGGCTCAGCTTAAAGCTCTACATACAGTGGGTGTGTTACCTCCAGACAGCGGTCCTGCCATCTCCTTGCCAACATTTCCAGCAGAGGAGGTCTGAACTTGTCCAGGCCAAGGAGGTCAGGGAGCATCACACAGTGCATGGCTGCCAGTTGACTCCAACCTGCACACACAGACATACACACACCGTCAGAAAAGACTCCAGGGAAGCCCAGTGTAAGAATCTATATATAAAGTATTTAATGTGCTCACATACAAACCCCACTGCTGCCACATAAAAACATTCTTTTTCCTTTTATGTTATAGCCACCATTGTGATAATTTAGCTTTTCTTGGAGCCTTACTGGTACTGCTTTCGTGATTTTGTTCTGATGGTGGTACTAAAGGAAAGGTCAAGGGGGCCTAAAATACTCTCAAACAAATGTCAGTGAAATTCTAGGCAGTACTTATTAAAAAACATCTTCCTAATGCATCAAAGTAATAAAGCACCTGATATGAGAATCACAGTGGAAAGCTAAAAAATGAGTGCTGACAAAAGCCGACTGATCAGATGCTTTGTCACCTGCAGACATGACTGATATTGATCACCATAGGAAAGAAAGCAAATTAGTGCATTTTCCAAAATGTTGGACTACAAAAATATTTAAATTGACATTTTTGTCAGCATTTCTTAAACATGTTGTTTTCATATAACAGCAGTGAGTTTATCACAACATTACACACACACACACACTGACTTTGTACTTATACAGTCCTCATATAAAAACCACACCGACATACTTATGCAGTCCTCATATAAAAACCACACCGACAACAGTTAAACACAGGATGGGAATATTGCTGACACTATCATTTGCAGTCTTGGTTAGAGCAAAGTTATTATTTCTGCTAACCAGAGCCTGAGTGTGTTTGATGGTGTTTAACGGGTAAACAACAGATACAGCACTGCCAGGTGGACTGACAAAAAGCCTCATAGCGATACCTTGGCATGATGAATTTAAATCTGTTTTCTTTCATTCAGGTGGACTGTGTGGAGGATTGCACTTGAAAACCGAGAATAACAAGAACAAATGACACAGGTGCCAGGAGTTGTCTTGTATCCTGAGTGACTGATGAAGAAAACTAACATTCAAAATGATGTAGTATCGCTTTAATAAAGCTCAAATCTACACGTATCAGTCTGAGCCAAAATAATGGCATATTAATATTTTACACCAAACACCAGAGAAATAAATACCAGCTTTTACATGAAACATTTACTTGCTGATACTCATCATAAACCAAGCACTTTATTCACATATATCATTTCAATATATGGTTTCCAGAAAAGATGCATATATGTAAAATGCAACTGTATGATAGACAAAGAACGTCTTTTAAGCAGGAAAGAAATTTTATGCAAATTTCTTTGCCTGGGCTCCATGTAAGCTTACCTCAGCCATTGAAATACACAGGGAAAACAAACTGTTAGGTGTATTACAAACATACTGCATTCAGAAATATTGTGTGTAGAGGCTGACTGATTTATTGTAATGAATATCACAAAAGTAAAATATTACACATCTGTCAAATATTTTACATCTGTCTTATAGTACCATAATAATAATAATAACCAAATTGTGTCAGTACTGGAAATCAGAGAAAAATAATCAGTCAACCTCTGATTGCTTCACCTCACTGTCTTGCAGAAACCTCATATCTTAAAAAAACTGAATTTGAATCATTTCATTAAATTAGTTCTTTAAATAATAGAAGAACAGCTGCCTTCCACCAAGACTCTTACTGATTAATCCCGGAGTGCTTCTTCTGTTGTCTGAACTTTTACCTGAAACACTGAAGCAAATTAATGCTTTGGAAGATCAGAAATCCAATCAGGCCACCTGGTAATACAGGAAGCTCTTCTGCTGTCATTTGTTTAGCTACAAAATAAAACTCGGGCAATGATACCAACGTAACTCGTGTGACTCATGGAGTTATACAGTTTGCTCAGCTACTACTACTGCTACTGCTTAGCTACTACTACTGCCTAGAAAGTACTGATATTGCTGGCAACAAGTTTTCAGTGGCTGCTACTGCTAATTATGCATCTTTTAAACTATATTTTATTATTTATTTAGCCTTTATTTAAACAAAGTGAGGTTGGAAACTTGCATTGATGACACAGCAACACAATACAATGGTAGACAACTAATAAAGCAACGTTTAAACTATTAAAACAGGGCTAAAAGTCAAGTATGTGATTTTAAACTGATATACTGTGTCACATTTCTTTTTGCAGACTAATAAGTGGCTGAAGCAGGAAACATGAAGGCTGTCTTTTGTACCATTGCTGCTGCTGCTACAAATATTTCTGATACTACCACTACTACTAATAATAATAATAAGGTTTCTGCAGGGCAGTGTTTTGGTAATAAACATAGTATATACAGTAGATGTGGTTGACATATTTGCTACAATTGCTGTTTGCCCCTACAGAAAATTAGAGGCAATTTCTCTTCTAAAATAGTCCTACATATACTGAGGAGGAATGGGCATCTGTGTGCATGCTTGCTGTTTCGGCTATAATTATAAAGAAAAAGCAGCCTGACCCACTCTGTTTTAGTCTGAAGACTGGAAACTAAGGGTTATCAGTTTTGAAAGGCACTTGATTTCCCTGTACCAACTACAAAATAGGATAAATAATTAAATAATTTGAAAACACATTCAATGTATGGTTGGATGGGGATCCAAGCCTCCGCGGTAAAAGCCAACACCCTGTTAAAAACATAAACATAATAACAATGGCTGTTTAAAAAAGAAAAAACAGCATTAGGCTCTGAGAGAGATACCAGAAAGATGCTAATTTATGATGATTGCACTTTAGTCAATTTACAATGTCATTTAAAATCAGTTATCACTCAGTTTTCTGTTTTTAACTTCTTTTAACTTTTACATGGAATGAGTACAGCGTCAAGTGGATCTGTTGCAGGTGAAAACAGAGGGATGGCAAAATGTCAAACAAGGTACATTTTCCATCACTGCTAAGCATGAATTTAACTTTTTTGGATTTTGGTTTGTTTAAATTATTTCTGTGGCGACACACTCCCCATTCCATCAAGTGGAAATAGCAAGCATGCAAACAATGAGCGCAGAGACACTTAAACATCAGGACACATGAACATTCAGACAGACAGGTAGACAGAGAAAAACAGGGTAACTGCACAATACTGCCAACAACTGAAATACAACAAAAGACCAGGGCATAAACCCTGCAGTCAATGCACTCTCAAATGCATCAGTTCCAAACATCAGTAAAGTCCACTTGTTCGCAGATGTTATGGCTGTTCCATTAGACAGTTTCCAAAAGCCTAGTGGTTGAGTATTTGTTTTGATTATTATGGCTAGAAATTGCCGAATTTGTGGCAAACATAATTTGCTTTGGTAATTCTTCACAAAATTGGATATTGCAAGGCCAGTGAAAACTGTAAATGAAATCTTGAAGACAATAGGTCAAAATGAGGATTGATGGGGTTTCTGTTTTAGATTGTTACAAAAATCTCACTAGCATTCTTTCAAATTCTCCTTATTTCAGAAATATATTCGATTAAAAAGAGATTTAAAAAACTGCTAGCTCTAGAAAATATTGCAGAACTGGTTTCATTTCCCAGGACCAATTCAGATAGCTATATTGTCTGCCAAGTGTTTTGTAGCATGCAAATTTGGATACTCAAAATGACCAATTTCTTTGACTGATTGAAAGTGGATTGAACTGAGCTAAGACAGAAAGATAAATAGACAGCACTGTAGACAAAAACAGGGACAAAGACACTGCAAAGAAACCTGAGCTAGACACCTGAGATAAAAACCTAACACTGGCTGCGGGGAAAAACCAAGACTGATGCAAGAAAAGAGAACACAGATGATGAGACCCAAGGAGAGAAACGGAGAGATAAATAACTGATAGAGTGAAGCGAGGGAAGGTAAAGAATTGTAATGACAAAGGGAGTGAAGTCAAGAGAGGGGAAAAAAAATAGAAATTGGAACGGACACTGAAATAAAGAAAAATAGACATGGGAGGACAAAAGAAAGGACAAGGAAGGAAAGAAGATCTAGGAAGTAGAAGCTCTCCAAAGACAAAGATAAGTGATTAAGAAAAAGAATATGGCTGTGAGACTTTCCCTAAGTGGTACCCATCAGTTCAATCTGTACCTTCGTTGACTGAGGGGATGTTATGAGAAGCACGGCCGGGGCTGGGGGAGCCAGGGACCCCCTGGGGAAAGGGCACAGGGGGGCCGGGAGGCCCAGGAGGGGTAGGGGTAAAGAACAGGTTAGAAAGATATAAATACTTCTAATATCAAATGGAGAGAAGAGACAAGAAGTCAGGCAGCAGGGAAGTAAAATATGCATTTACATCAAACAAGAACAGAAAAAGAAAACATGTATAAAAAAAAACAATAAAAGAAGCCATCACATGAAAAGAACAAATAAAAGAGTTAAAAAGGAGGGAAAATCCTTTAAAATCCATTTTGCATAATTGGCAGTGAACATCCACCACCCTGCCTCCACATCCTTATTTAGCAACTCACTATGTAAAAGATACACTACTGCATTAGCACTGAAGGTTAACACTGGACATACAGCCATGATAAAGACACAGTACACCCTTCTTTGAGGTTTTTATTCCTCAGATGCTAAGAAAGCAATTGCCTGGTCCTCACCAACTTCTGTAAACAAATAAAATAACCTCAGGTGACAAAACACACACACACACACACCAGATTTTAATATGTGGTTACTGTTTCTCAAAAGTAAAACAACATTCAGAAACTAGGTGGGAAAATAAAAGTACACCCTTTAATTCAGTAAAATGTAGAACTACCTTTAGCAACAATAACTTAAATGTTTTCTGTAGGAGCTGATCAGTCTCTCTCATCATTTTGAGGAAATATTGGCCCGCTCTTCTCTACAACACTGCTTCAGTTCACTGATGTTTGAGGGCAGAACAAGTCCAAATCGTCCCTGCTCCAGCACCGTGTTTGACAGTTATATATGAGGTGTTCACGGTGATACGCTGGGTTTGGTTTTTGCCAAACAGTGCAAAGGCCCGGGGGTCGGGGCTCGAATGCGAGCGCCTGGTGGCCGGGCCTCCCCTCATGGGGCCCGGCCAGACTCCGCCCAAACGAG